GCCAAGAAGAATGGGTTTGCCTATGTCGCACAGGTGACGTCTCTCCTGGGAAGCATCGGCAGCAACACCGCGGAAATGGCTGGATTCTTCAGCAAATCGTTCGGATACGCTCCCTCCAAGGCTGCTCTCAACATGGTCACTCGCTCGATGGCTGTCCAGCTACGCGAGAAAAGCATTGGATTCGTGACTCTGAACCCTGGATATGTGGCCACCGACATGAACGAGCACCAAGGCTACCTGACACCTTCGGATTCGGCGGAGTCCATGGCGAAGATCGTGGCGAAGTTGTCAATTGAGGACACGGGCAAGTTCTTCAATGGGGACAAGACGTACCCAGCTGTCGAGCTTCCATGGTAAAAGCACGAAAACCAATATTTCAGAAGTATCGGGACCTATTTTCGCGAAATCTTCATTATAATTTCTGGAATAACAATTGTTGACAATCATATTTTTTTTTACTTTGTAAGAAAATGATCATGTTAATACATGTAGCTGTAGCGTGCTGCGTAATCTAATCATTGATTTAAAGTGGTCGATGCCTCTTTTCCCATCGCGTTTCGCGTAGCGCGAACTCAACTTCCACGTAGCGGTGAAGCGGAGTCAATGTCGCCAACTTCTCCACATATCCATCGAACTCCTCTATAAGTGATGCCTCCTGGCTTCGGAGATTCGGAGAGTTCCGCAGGACCCGAAGAGCCTGCTTGCGTAACGATGAAATCTCACCTGGTCGATTCGTCAAGGCCATCAGCATAGCGTAACGGTAAAACACGGCAACAATAGCTGCGTTAAGCCTGTCGAGCGCTTCCGCCTCTCTCTTGTTAGGCGGTGATAGAGCATGGCGACCTCGACACTTCGTACTCCCGGATGGAACTGTTGTACATTTGCTCAGCAGATTCCAATTGCATTCTAGCCACAGCAAATTTTACAAAAGATAACAAGGTTAACTAACCATCTAAACTGCAGCAATAAATGTAAAACACTCCACAACATACCTGCAAATAAAACAAGTTCCCATTTCATCCTGGACTGCCACTCCGATGGCACAGCTAAGACTGATAGGTCGTACTCCCTTCATGCTTTTCATAGCCTCGTCGAAGAAATACAAAGCTTCGTCGAGCCGCCCCAGTTTTAAATCCAACGAACCGCACAACGAAGCACTGAGTGGGACAACCTCTGCATTGCGTAACCCCAGTTAGCATCATTACGTCAGTGCAAGCAGTAGTGGTGTTAAACTACCTGGTTGTAGTGTTATACTCTTGGAGACTTCGTGTGCCTCCGTAGAATAGAGCCTGGTGGATGTTCCCCTGGTGAGGGGAATGCTGCTAGTATTAGGCGTTGACTTTGTATAAACCTTCATGGCACACTCCATTCCGAGCTTCAGTAGTCGCCTATTCTTCATGATCTCGTGTGGTTGCTGAAGCTTGATGTACCCCTACTGATATCAGAACAGCATAGGAAGGATTTTGAATACAAAGTTGGGAGTTAAATTTGCAATGCCTGTATCTGACCTGATAAGCTGAGTAGGTTAGCAGAACTCTCCCGCCACCAACAGCGACACAGTCTGACCGGTTCAACGAGGTGAAACACTGGAGCCTGGCGCTTCATTTGCGAATACGCGTGGCCACTTGGTCCCCCTGGTAGCGGCTGCTTCTCTAGCGAGGATATTGGAAGACGCGATGCATGTCAGGCAGGTAAGGTGCCCGTTAGACTAGTGCCACTGAAAATGCTGTATGTGGGTCACCGATTTTAAATACCTTTTCAACGATATATTAGAAACTAGTAGTAGTAGTATTATTTTCCAATACTTATCTAAAAGTAATAAGCACAAGCACTTAGTACTATGTAGTATAATACTATTTGTTTTAGCCTAATATACTATTAGTACTATATTTTGAGAAAATATACAATTATCTCATAGAACACTACAGTAGCATTGTATTTTGTTAAATTTCACAATTATTTCGCACATGACCAACTAATTTCACAAAACAGTCATCCTTCTATGCTATTATTACAATACTTTGTGTGCGGTAGAATTCGACAAAAGGGTGCAAAAATGGAGTAACTTCTTTATTTTTTGCGGTTACTACTCCCTGCATCCATTTTTTTTACTGAATGGAGAGTGACTTGGTAATTGGTTAATATACTTACATTATTACCACGTTAGCGACATGGGAATCATAACTATTTCTCCACTGGGGGGGGGACTAGAAACCTGGACAGATTGACTTCGACACTTTTGCTGACAGCTATTTAAAGTTTTTTATTCTTGCACAATCATTCTTCTGAATATCTTCAAAAAATGTTGATTTCGATGATCACGCCAACACCTTCAATGTCTTCGCAATCGCCATTTATGTTTACTGTTACTGTTAGTTCAGTTGTGCTTGGTTTTCACCACCTCACTTTCAAAAAAGCTCCAAGAGCACCAAGTCTCCTCTCAACACCAACTCCCTCTTATATCATGGCGACCACCAAGAAAACAGTCCTCATCACGGGAAGCACACGCAGTATTGGCCTCTCACTAGCCGAGTACTACACCAAGGAAGACTGGAACGTCATTGGAACGGCGCGGCCCAACAGCAACACCGACCAGGTACGTCGTTCTCAATACTTCCTGTTTCTATACTCGTTGACGTCAATCTCATTCTGTGCGTACAGCTCAACGCTCTATCACCATTTAAAGTGGTGACACTGAACACAAGTGACGAATCCTCCATCCTCGAAGCTGCACGCCAACTGGAAGGCGTGCCTATTGACCTCCTCATCAACAACGCCGGCATTTGGGAACCCGACACGTTCGAATCGGCCACCAAGGAGGCATTCATGCGTCAGTTCGAAGTGAATGCGGTGGGTCCGTTCCTCACGACGCGAGCGCTACTACCGAACCTGGAGCTTGCGGCCAAGAAGAATGGGTTTGCCTATGTCGCACAGGTGACGTCTCTCCTGGGAAGCATCGGCAGCAACACCGCGGAAATGGCTGGATTCTTCAGCAAGGCTTTCGGATACGCTCCCTCCAAGGCTGCTCTCAACATGGTCACGCGCTCGATGGCTGTCCAGCTACGCGAGAAAAGCATTGGATTCGTGACTCTGCATCCCGGATATGTGGCCACCGACATGAATGACCACCAGGGCTACATGAAATCCTCGGCATCGGCGGAGTCCATGGCGAAGATCGTGGCGAAATTGTCGATTGAGGACACGGGCAAGTTCTTCAATGCGGACTATCAGTACCCAATCTATGAACTGCCTTGGTAAAGAAACTTTGGGAGCTGGCCGCCAAAGAACGGAAATGCGAAGTTATTTCAGAGTACTGAAAATGTAGTTCTGGGAATTAAGAATACGATTTCACCCCTCACTGTCATTAAAAAAAATGTTAAAGGATTTTGTGTATAACATATCGCAATGACATCATATTACTGCTCAGTAGAGGTTCTAAGCCATGAAAACGCAAAGCTGAAGTCGGCCCCTGAAGATTCCCACAATAGGTTAGGACGCAATGATTTGTAAGCCATTCATGTATATCGACGTACCGTTGTGTTCTAGTGAGTTTTGGATGGTATAGCATATCCATAAAAACAGATTTGACTGCACCATGCGCCAACTTCGGTCCAGTACAAACACGAGCAGATGCAGCATCGAAATCCTGAGCATCCGCTGAATCAGGTACCCGATCACCAGCAATGAGCCCAGCTCTATCACTCCAAAGGTGACAACATTTCCGAGATTACTTGTCAATCCGGTATCCTCAAACGACTGGAGCTGTGGATAATAGTGGTGATTTGGCAAATAGAACATTCCAGCTGTGTACATCGCTGACAAAAAAAAAATAAATAAATAAAATTAGCTGGCCCTAAACAGTAAGAGTGTTGAAGACTGATAACGTACTGTAGATGAAGGGTACGATCACCTCTGTATATTCGACCAAAATGACAAATTCCGTCGTAAATAACACCCTCGCACTATGCTGAAGGAACCGTTGCCGTTCTTTGGCCGAGAAAATCCTGTCCAGCGATCTTTGGCCATTAACCAGTTTTAGCGAAGGGGTTCTTGCTTCGCTGGCTGCTACCGCTTCTGAGGGGTTTGGTGGATCGACAGGGAGTACCTGTCTGGTTGACGCTCTACCATCGTTCATGTCTGTAGCCAGAGGACCTCCTACTCGAACCGTGCTAGTGCTCATACGTCGAACGGCCTGAGCCAAACTATATCGACGATGAGCGAGACGGTCTCTGGCTTGAGGATCTTCGTCAATGATTTGAATAGCGATCTCAATAAAGCTAGCGTTCTTTAACGGATGTGCCGCAGGAATCTTTCGTCTTAGTAAATAAATGGTCTTCATGAAATGCTGGATGTCTGAAATCGATACCCACGCGAGTACTGCATCCAATGCAACCATCTGAACAACTGTCATACTCGACTGGGAGGCCTGCATCGAACTTGACACGTACAGTGCGTTGAAGACGTCCACGTTGAATATCATAATTTGCGGCAATAAATCGAATTTGTTGCCCAAGCAATAGCTGATCCAATTCTTTGCTATAATCTTGATGATTGGAAGTAGCATCACGTAAAACTTTTGGTTTTCTGGCTCGACGCTGATAAATCCATAGAGATATGCTGGATAAACGAACGTCAGCAGTACCTGACAGATGAGTACTACAATCGATCGGAGTAATTCTCGCAGCAGCACGGGATCTCGCCTTAAAATTCGTCCAAAGAAAGCCACGAAGCATACAACGAGAACCACGAACCATACCGGTATTCCAACTACGAGCGCGAAAGGGAGTGGGAAACCAATGACGCTAGACATGGCGATCATAAATGCTACAGCGCCTCCACTGGAGATAACAGGCATGAGAACAACCTGTACAGAACCGATATGTAGTCCTGGTACACTGATTCGAAACTGTTCGAGAATTACACGTGTCATTAACGCGATCGTCAAGAAATCTCGACACCAAAACAAGTAGTTTGCTCTTGAACCATCGTCAGGCGGAGCCAACGGCGCACAGTCGATCAAAGTGAGGACTAGAAGACATGGGAATGGCGACAGGACACTTACTAAAACCGCCCGAAGCGTCGATGTAGTTTGGCTGTAGTGTAATAATGTGCGCACACGCTCCACAGAGTAGTGACCGCGAAGTTCCGCTTGAAATGCTGCTGAGATTCTCCGTACACGCCGTAAGATGACGCGAACTTCTTGCCGCATATGTGAGGAGACTTGTTCGCGCCGACATAAATGCTATTCCTGGCATGCCTTAAAAAATATAACAGGAATAGTACTGTATGCGTCAGTACGATGATAACCTGAACACCGTGACGTCCAATACATTGAGGACGGCAAAACAAGGACTATTTCGGGTTCTTTACAGATATGAAACAATTTATCCTGAGGTGACATCTGGTTAAAACTCCTATTGACCGTGGAAATGTCATTGTAGGTGACATAACATTAATACTACTTTAGTAAAAAAAAAAAGCTATCTCCATCTACAAGACAAGAGGCAGCAGAAAGGTCAACAATTGCAAAAAAAAAAAAACAAAAAAAAAACAGACACAGCATTGTTTAGGAAATATCGTCTTTAGCCACAAAGATGTTTTCTGCAGGCAAACAGTGTGCGGCACTCGGATAGAAGTAGCAGATACCTTCAATTCTTCGAACTACTTCCACCTTCAAAGCTGGTGATTCTGCAGTATGTTGCCGCAAACATCATTATTTTCTAGACGGATGACGCTTGATCCACCAAGTTCTCTACAGGCCGACAACCCGGTTGTTGCGACCCTCAAGCCTGGAAGCGAATTCCATCGGCATTACACATTCGCGATCCTTGAGAACGAGTAAACTCGCTCCTCTCCACCATTATTCACATCTCCCGTGCCCATGCTGTCTCCCCGCATGTTTGTTTTGTCATTGTATTCAGTCACCAATGCACGCGAAACAGATAAGATGGAAAAAATCCCCAAGTTCTTGTCCATATCGTCGAAGTTTGGATTTTTTTTGATAAGACCGCTCCAGTGGTTGCGAAGATCATGCCAGAGCAATAGTACAATCCAGAGAAGAGTGCGCATGAGTAAAAGTAATTGCAGATGGAGTTCAGGAGATGTAAACACAAACGATTCGTCACAGAAAACATCCGATGTCTATACATCATCTTTGTTTTATCTTTTCAAAGACAAAATAAGCGTATTACGGATGACTTACAGTACAAGGAACGGGACTGAAGTACATAATACTGAGTAACCCAACATTAATAATACATGTACCAGAGACCACATGAACATAAAAGTAGTTACAGACAAAAACGAAAGTCCAAATGTTCCACAAATGGTGGGTTGGAAAAATTGAAGAACTTCTACAACGACGAAAGCATTGCGAAGTCTATTGCCACGAAGCTGGAGAGGGCTCTGCTGGAGCACATGAAGAGGACGGTCTAAAACACTTGTGACCGTGTCAGGCACCTGATCTCGAGTTTTCGGAATATCGCATCTCAAACTAAAGTACCATACACCAAACTGAACGGCAGTTTTCTTTTTTCTTTTTTGCAATCTCGATTTTATTTTATGAAAGATTGTTTTGACATGACAGAATTTTCAATCCTTTGCAACAAAAAAAGTTCCGATTGATTTTCTAATGCAGGTGTTGGGTTTTCTTTTCAGAAGCAAAACTATTTCGTCACTGAGAGAGCTTCGACCAAGGGGAACTAGCCCGCTGTTTCGAAGTCTATTGCGTGTAGGAGCAAATATTGCACATCGAGCTATTGAGCTGTGCGAGTCTGACAAAAAAAGGTAGATCCCGCAATTCAGCGCTGATGGAATCCAGCAAACGAAGGATTTGTCGATCGACAATCATAAAAGTGGTCGCCACCAAATAACCGAGCGTGTGATGCGAGCTGTAAGATGGAGCTCTCCATGCTGATACATTCCAGACGGGACAAAGCGATGCAAATATATTTTTAAAAAAAAAATTAAAGAAAGAAGTCGAGAGTGGAAAATGCAGATCTCAGTATATATGCGAGAGAAGTCATTGGAGAGAATGGATAAGATCCGAAACAGAAGAGGAGCAAACAAAGATCAACGTCTTCAACACTGCATCCCCAACGCGATCTTGAGCTCAAGCGCAAATAGATCTAAGGCAGGAGATTGCTGCTTTACATACAGCTGTGTCAATACTGGTCCAAAGAGAATGAGCGCACCGTTGACGCTGAGCAGAATAAACGCCTTTCAGGATTAAATAGCATGATCTTTCATACATTAGGTTCACTAACTACACATTGTTTTTTATTACTTCTGAGTCCGAAATTCCGACGACAAAAAAAGCGATACCGTTGTCCGATGTATCACAAAAAAAAATCACACACACACACACACATGAGATCATATCATGATAATTATAGCTCTTAAAATCTATTCTGGACAACAAATTAAGTTTGTAAAAATTCAAACGAAGAGCGCGTAGAAATAATACAATTCGATATAGTAATCACGACGGAGTAGCATATCCTATGGCGCATCAAGGGTATCTCCAACCAGCCCAGCGCTTCTTGCAAATACTTGTGTTGCTTAGGGCCAGCCTATTTTGAAAAGCAACCAGGTGGAGATTCATGCATGATCTCAGGGTGAGTTTGCACCGGTTCCATACTGACCCTCCAAGTGAATACGTTCGGAGACTTCAGTCCGTCCTATCGAAATGCAACAGAACGCGATGCAGGCGCAAAATCTGAGTAATTGTAATGGCTAGGCAAATTAGGCTAATAAAACAACAAAAAAACAACGGAAGGAAAACCGGGCTCGTACTGTTTTGTTTAACTTTCGGATTCTGGTACCGCGATATACCATTGACTAGTTCATAGAATCTTTTTGTGCTGATTGCACTCTTTTCTGTGGTACCCGATTCACAAGAGCTTTATCGGCCATGTAAGTATTAACCTCGCATTACTAAAGCCATTTCAATGCGTGCACTTTCCTCGCCAATTCTATGAAACGGATCACGGATGAGGAACGCCGTTAGCTCAACGTAATGCTTATCGCTCGCAGGTTATTCGACATTTGTGGAATTCGACGGTCGTCAGGCTACGATGAGTGGGCTGAACTAAACATAAATCTCCTAGGCGAAAAATTGCTCATAACTGAAAAAGCATGTTGGACGGCAATCACAAGCCTGTAGCTGACTTATCCATTCAATATCCTCCTGTAGATACTGACAGCAATTCACTTACCAATATCACGTATCGTGAATTCGCTGGACTACGCAACTGGGAGCCTCGTGTACTCATCGACGATGTTACTCTCCCAGAAAACGGTATCGAGATCGGTTCTGTGGCGGTAATCTACGCCATCAAAGTGCGACTACACAGCGGGCTCGAGTGGGTAATCAAGAAGCGATATTCCCAGATCCGAGGACTGCACAAAAACATCGGAGAACGCGTCAAACATCTACACTTCCCTGCCAAACACTACATTCACAACTACAAGCCACTGGTGCTCCAACAGAGACGTCGAGATCTTGAAACGTACATCACCGAACTCCTGGAAATTCGTCCATTTCTCCTTCGTGAATTGTACAATTTTCTAGGAGTATACGTCAACATCAAGTCCTCCGAGCGGGATAACAGAAAGAAGAGTATTTTATCTTCCAGCGGTCATTCTCAAACGGTAACTTCGGAGGACTCCTGCGATGATCATGATACCAATTCGATAACCGAAACCGAGACTGCTCCCGCTCCGTTGGGGAATTTAGTCGAGTTGTGTTTCGACATGGGTGACGCTGTGTCCATGAGCGAGAAAGTGCTGGAACGGCTGTTTATCACTCGGAATCGGCTGGTTGAACTCTTTCGTGAAGGGGCGACACTACCTTTCGATGCCAAGAGGACTTTCGCACAATTAACAGCACGTTTTGATGATTTTCTAACGCGAAACTCCAACGGTTCGACTGGCGATACTACCAGTCTAGTTCGACGTTTGCATGGATTTCACTGTGAAATCGACGTCTTGCAAGGTCACGTTGGGCTTTCGAAATGCAGCTGGGAAGTGTCGTGGGTCCATGCAGTACGACTCATGGACGAGAGATTAGTCGCTATGGGTAGAGCGAAGTGTGGCTGCGTGTGCTCGAAGTTGCCGCATGAAGCTACATGCGCTTTAGTTGGCGAATCAGTCGACACTGATACTAAGGCTTTGTCCCGAAGTTGCCCACTGTTGTCACGTACTATGGTGTCTACCCCGTCTCGCCTTGAGGAAGCTACGGTCTCGACTAGTTGCACGAAAAACAAAGGGACGTTTGCTAGTGTGGCATGAATGGACGGGATAGCGATGAGCCTCCGGGTTCTGCACGTGTGGGCTCGATAGGAACTCGTGTCCATAACTTGCGTGTAGGGAGTGCATAAGAAGAGAGTAAGTACATTTAATGAGTAAATCAAGTTGGTTTAATAGTTGTCATGTCTAGCTTCAAGGCACAGGATCCCAGTATCTCGTTAACAACATCTTTCGTCCCATAACCACCGCGTTGTCGCCCCTCTGCTTAGAAAATTATTCATTTCCTCCGAATTACTAAGAAAAAAAAAGGTGAAATTTGATCATGTTTCTTGGGTGTCATGGGGCTTTAAAGAAGCGACTGTAAGTGAATGTAGTCCCGTAGAGCTTCGCCGACCGCCAGAACGATCTGATCTCCCAACCGATTTGCGAATAATATCAAAGGTTGGCAACACTTTTCCGTCCAAAATGCGTCGCAGATTCCCTCGGGAATTGTTAAAAACGGTATCGTTGTTCCATTTCTCTCTCCCGCTGTACGCTGAGCTGGCGTTAGTACGAGTTATCGTGTTTCCACCACTCGTTCGGTGCTGTCTTGTCTTAGCCCGGGCCGTAATATACAGACAAGCTGTCAGGGTTGTTCGGTGCCAAATCGCCTGTGCGAACTCCCAATTGAGTCCACTGGCAGTGGACAAGACATTAAAAGGCATTTCATGCGTTGCAAAGAGCACATAGCAGGCCACTTCGAACTTTCTCGTTCTCCAGATACTTCTCCATCCGCGGGATATACCGATATAATAGAAGCGGAAAACAAAAATGAAGGCCAAATTCGCATTTTCTGCAATGTTAGAGATCACTTGAACCGTGTGTTCTGAGAATACGTCGGAGTCGAAGACCACGACGCAAGAGAGCAGGATGGAGACAAGGTCGCCCAAGATCAAGAGTTCGCCGACGTACGTGAGGTACATGACGGAGCGTATTTTGAACTTTTTGTTCAAGTCGTACCCAATAATTGTAATTTGTAGCAGAAAAGTCAAGACGCAGCAAGCTTCAGAGATGTCGTTAACTGTTTCCACGAATCCTTGTTCGGGTCTTGCGAAGGGAATCGTAGCAACGGTGCCCAGAGTCCCGACAAACAGCAGCAACATGACTCGACGCTCTCGTCGTCGTGTCCAGTAGAACATCGCGAGGTATACCAGTAGCGTGTAGTTGAGTAACAACACTATCGGTAAGAAAGCCTCTTTGGCTAGTACATCGATCTGATCCTGGGTCACGGACGTCCACATCGTAGCTCGCTTTTAGCCACGCACTCGTCCGCTACAGTCAGTTTGCAGCGTTTGGTCCGCTCTTGGAGTTTTAAAGCTTGACTTTGGGGAAGCATAAGAGTTCACATGAAGACAACCACTAAAAATACTCGCATAAGACACCTTGGAGCATATGGGTTAATAAAACATCGTTTGGTTTATTTAACAAATTTAACCCTCTTTTGGTTGGGCTAAAACAATAAAACCCAAATTGTTTTTACCGAATCACATAAATTTTAGCCAGTACTGATTTGACAATATCTTTCCGCATCCATTACTTGACACGCTACTCCTGGTAGAAGACGTTAGACTCGTCGTCCACATTTCGACTACAAGTCTTTGGCTTTTATTTTGTGTCTTCGATGTCGGGCCAACAGATCGAGGAGCTGGGCGACTACTTGTTACAGACTGAGCTTCGGGACAACCGGAGCGGAGTTTCCCCTGTATACACCAATGAACAGCAGCAACGAGGTGTCATGATTTCTGCTACCAGTGGAGAGTTCGTCGATGATCATTTGATATCACCACCACTCGGCAGCTACATGGACTTGCTACAGAACAATGACATCGCGTCAGCAACCGACCCATTCACTGGAATAGTGTATGATGCTTCGGCCACGGATCGATCGCAGGAGAATTCTATGGAACTTGTTAATTTCAGTCTCGAACAACAACAAACAAAATTATCTTCTACTGCAGCTGCTGCCGGAGCGCAGCGTAACGTTTCAATCAAACCCTCCACCTGCAAGCGTCCAAGCTTGCAATGTCAGAGCATTTGGAGCAGCGATGACGACAACACCATCTTGTTCAATGACGACTCCACACCAAAGCGGTATGAATTCTGCTCGTTTTTCGTTGCAATCTAGTTATTCATGCTTTTCTTGCTTTGTTTTAAACCTTAACAGCTCAAATGTTATCAATGAAGATGACCGAGGGTTTCGAAAAAAGTCACGGGAGAAGATGCGGCGACAGGAGGCTAGCGATAAGGTAAATTTTCAGCTAGAAAACGTACGTTAGAAAAGCTGGTTCTCTGAATTATGTTGTTAACTTTACAGTTCGTTGACTTGCTGGAAATCAACAGTCGAGTTCGCAAAAAGGTCGTTTTGCACGAAGCTATATCGGCCATTAAGTGTTTGAGGCGGGAGTGCAATCAACTGCGTCGAGATCGCGAGCGCCTTCTGCAAGAGCTACACAAGTTGGCTGCATGTGTGCAGTATTCACAAGCTGGGCTAGGAGCGGTTATGTAGGGCCACGACGTCACTTAGCTTTGGAAGCCCACGGCAATCATCGGAAATGGTGGGCGTTGTGAGCCGCCGTCAACCTAAATGAACTCCCCACATCTTTTCAGGCCACGGATGCGACGAATCCTGCAATACTCATTCTTTGCTGAGCAGATTTTCAGTGCACGCGCAATTTGCTGGTCCCATTTGAAGCCACCTAAGTCCAGCGAGTTGAGAACTGGCCGATAGCGTTTTATCCTTTTACTATCATATGTAAAACGAATTGACACCACTCGAAGACGCATCCATCACGCCTTCTTTGGCCACGGAGAATGAGATGGCACGATAAATCTTGCTTTCACGAGCGGTCATCAAGCTCGTGCCTAACGAAACTGCATGTTCGTTAGCTCTTCTATTGATGCCAGTGGCGTGCACACTACGGAAACGCATTTAATTGATATTATGTCCAAGCGCCTTCCTCAAAGTGGCCTCAGACCGCCTCTCGCCTCCTATTGGAATTACGGAGTAGAATGTGACGTCTAAATGTCAGACTCGGAATGGCCATTGATCTCGTAATGGCGGCGTAGCTACAGGGAATAGCGACCAGGCTCATACATCTTATTTTGAGTATATTGATTCACATTTGGTTGCTGTGGTTTTGTTAAGGTAGTTGTTTCTCAAGTTTCAGCAGATTGGATATCGATCCGACCGTCTTTTTCTCACTCGGACTTGCGATATCCTCGACCTCTGCTGTTGTTGCGAAATGGCGAGATGTTTTCACAACGCTCTTCATAGTCCGAAGAGAAAGATGCCGACGAGTTGCGAGTGCTCTGGTCAGAGCTGCATCTCGACAGCGCCATTGCCAGTGTAACCTCCGGCAATTTCGAGTTCTGGCCCAAGATGAAGGAAGCGAAATCGTAACATACGTCTTGTACCAGCACGTTGCAGCCTTGATTGCCTCTGTTCACCAGCGCAGCTTGAAGCGTCCTGAGTATTCGGATGAGGGATTGCCGACGCGCTTCTGTCGTGCGTGGCGCGTTGGGGGCGAGAATTTTGGGCTTGGGGAAATGGTTCTTTATCACTGAGCGGAGCCACTTGCACTCAGCGGGACAGATGTGATTGGGTCTCAGTCTTCGCATCAGTTGCTTGCGGAGTCGACGATATCCATCGAATGGGTGACTGACAGTCCACTCGATCTCTGCGTCTTGGCAGCAAGGCGGAGTGTACGTGGCGTGCACTTCATACTGCACACTTCGGCCGCTTGGGACGGTCTGCATGCTGAGTCGAAGGTGCTCGAACCACGCTATGGCCTCGGGGAGCTCTATCGACGACGCGCGGTTGCGGTAGTAGCCCGAGAAGTTAAAGATCGGCGTGCACGTTGCAGCGACAGCCATGATTACTTGAATAGGTCCGACCTGTAGGTGGCAAAAGCGTTAATGACAGTCGGGTGGGGCGGGTCGGATGTGCTGGGACATTCATCCTTTTCGCCCACATCGGGTGGAGTTGAGGTGACTAAAAAGGTTCCTCTGAAAAAGAAATGGGTGGTACACTGTGCCAGTCTACTGGTTTATTGTAGTTTGTAGGTGTGTGTTTTGGGAAAAACACGAGAGAAAGTTGGGTTTTTCGAGCATTCGATGGGTGCCAAAAATGATGAGGCCCTGGGAGAAACTATTTCGGCAGAAATAAGTTTAGCTCAGCAAGGTTTTCTCAGAAAGTGCTTTGGTCGGACGCTGCAAAATAGTTGAAGTTTCAACGGATTTGGTGATTTTTTTCATGTTCTGGGCGAGCAACGGCCTATTTAACAAAAATTTGAGACGAAGAAGCACGAAGATTGGCTTATTCAGATCAAATTGAGAGAGCGCGCCTTCACGTTTGGAATCCTAGTGCATGCACTCCATCTTTTGACACCTAGATAGTAGTATTATCTTCCAACGATTGCTCAGCACAGGAAAGACAGTAAATAAGCTCGTGTTTCCTGGTTAAGGGTGACGAATTTCCAAATTGGTTTTGGCTGGAGCAAGAATATTGTCACAATCATTAAAATGCCAGTAAATGTGCAGCAAAATACAAAAAAAACAGGTATTGTCGTTGAGCAACTAAAATAACGGATCAGTTCTCCCTTTCCTTCTACGAACTTCCTTGTTCGGCCCATTTATGCCGTTGGATATATCGCCCTTCAGCCTTCCAAAAAGTTCAGCCTTCCAAGACGGGTTTCCGACCGACCGATCGACCGACCCGTGGTCGGCCACAGCACCACAGCCACTTCAACCAGTTTGCAGCCATTCTTTTTTTATTATTATTCTGGCCAATTGACATTTATTATTCTGGCCAATTGACATTTAAGAGCTCCATTTAGTTTGCAATATTAACACTCCTTAGTCAAAATTCCCAAAATCATAACTTAAACGGGAGAACAGGAAGGAAACATCAGTCCATTAGTTTTCTAAGGCAAGAACAAGATGGCGCCGACGAAAGTGAAGCTTGTGTCGATGGACGGCGAGGCGTTCGAGGTGGAGACGTCTGTAGCCGTGATGAGTGAGCTGGTGAAGACGCTAGTGGCGGACGATCACGAGGAAGGCGGCGAGGTGCAGGAAATCCCTCTGCCTAATGTTAAGAGTCACGTGTTGGCAAAAGTCGTCGAGTTCTGCCGCCACCACAAGGACTCGCCTATGGCCGAGATCCAGAAACCTCTCAAGAGTAATGTCCTAAGCGAATCCGTGGATGAATGGGACGCCAAGTTCGTGGATCTGGAGGACCAGGAGCTGCTGTTCGAGCTCATCCTGGCCGCCAACTACATGGACATCAAGGGTTTATTGGACTTGTCGTGCGCCAAAGTGGCTTGTATGATCAAGGGGAAAACGCCCGAGGAAATTCGAGCTACTTTCGGCATCACGGAAGAGTTCACTGAGGAGGAACAACAGAGAATCCTCGAGGAAAACAAGTGGATTGAGGACGTGTAGCAAGGCAGGAACCAATATTGAAGCCAAGTTCTTGAACACAAACATGCTTGGTTTGCAGACTATTATGAGTGGAATTTACAGCATAAGCATAGGCCTAAAATGTGGTAATACCAAACAAGACTTCAGTCGAATTAATATGTTGCTTGTCGACTATGCTTGAGCATTCATATTTTTTTCAGTAGATCAAAATATAGGTTGAAACAAGTTTTCGTTTTACTTGGACATTTTCATGACTTGGTATGTGCATTATCGAGGCAGTGACAGACAAGGCTCGCAGAAAACTCGAGCAGCTGCAGGACTCGTCCACGAGCTAGCGCACAATCGATTTCTACGCCAGCTACCGGAGTTCAGCGATGTTGATTGGAGACTTGGTACGTTTACACATTCTGGATCAGATAAAGGGTCTCTGATCAACGTTGCTGAGGAAACCCTATAGTTCGTATCAACTTTCTGCTTCAGCGTAACGATGCTGAAACTTGCAGATGGTAGAACAAGCTGTTGGATGCAATGTAAAACTGGGAACAGTGCTGATGCATGACATTCACTCTTCTCAGTGAAAAGTTATCAAGTTAGCTATCCGATCTACAACGTGTAGACTACTGTGCAAGTCTGCTTTCCAACTTAAGAACTATTCGAACGGACGGGCAATGGGAGTATAACCCACATTGTGACGTTGTGGCGGATATTGCTGAGGTCCTCAATTGAAGCGCAACAGACTAGGAACGATAGATTCTGGCTCTATTATACCATTATGAAGGTTTTTCAAACCTTTCATCAATCGATCGAATAGTGTACCCATGTTTGTTCATTCGTTTATACAGGCTTTAAACTGGATACTTGCGTGTCATTGTCTCCATTACTACTTCATTAAAGTCATGTCACTTGGGCCAGTCGCGACGTGAAGCTGACCCACAACAAAGACTCGGCAGCCAGCAGTGCAGTGCTTATGTCCTTCCCACGTGCTCTCTAGGCACGTCACATCCGTTGGTCCCTACAGACATCCAAAGGTATCTCGCTCCACGGTCTCACTTTCTAATTTGCTCAGATTCGTCCACAGCAAATCCTCCACCACTCCTTGTATCCTCTCAAGCATGTACTCCGTCGGTCTGCTCCTCTTTGTATCCTCAGCGCTCTTCACGAAGACGCTAGCTATCGACTACGCTGGTGGTTGGATCGACGGCTCCACGTCTTCGGGAGAGTGCGTGGATATCTGCTCGGCTCCCAGTGCTACGTGTCTAACCAAGGACCCCACGTGCTTGGCAAAGGAAAAAGTGCCCGGTGACTTCGACTATCTCGTCCTGGAGCAGCTCTTTGTGCCGCAGTTCTGTCGCGATCTACTTGTCGGCGTGGACGGCACCATCTCGCACCAGAACGTGAATCCATACCCGAACGGCACAGTTTGTGTCCCAGAGCGTGCTGTCAGCAAGCTGACAATCCACGGTCTGTGGCCAAACTATAACGACGGCTATGTGAGCTGCTGTAACCCGAGTGACACGGTTGAGAACGATCCATACGATGCCGTTAAGTTCTCTGAGAACCAGGCGACTCTCCTCGCTGAAATGGGCGAGAAATGGATCGACGCATCCGCAGACTCGACGTACGATACGCTGTGCGAGATCTATGACCACGAGTTCCAGAAGCACGGACTCTGCTACGCTGCCCAAGGCGCTGATCTTGAGGCTGCTGCCGTCACGTATTTCGAGGCGACGCTCAATACTGCGGATCGTATCAGTGCTGCGACCGAGCAGATCAACGCCTGGGCGGCGCTTGATACCCCGCAGACCACGTTGGCCAAGATTGAAGCACTGTATGACCACAAGGTGATGGTGTTCTGCTCGGCTGTAGACGGCGAGAACCAGCTCTCGGTCATCCGAACGTGTTACGAGAAACCTACGGATATTGGCAGTGACGGCCCCACGAAGCAGATCGATTGCGCCAACGCCACGGCTACTTCCACGTTCTCGGTCTGCTCGGGTGACGAGCCGATCACGCTACTACCGTATGTGGCTCCTGGATCATCCAGTTCCTCTACCAGCGCTGGATCAGCTACATCGACCCCTACGACGCCTACTACTTCGGAGCCTACGATTGACCCCACGGCCAACGCCTGTGTGTAGTCACAAGTGACTGTTATAAAGGCTAGGTGCTGGTTCTCCAGCTTAGAAACAACCCTTTTTCTTCTGCCATGCAAACGAGGAATCTTTTAGTGTGTCTACCGCTCAATTCTACCTGCTCTCTAGCATGGCAGCAATATATTCTGCACAAATGAATACCGTGATCTAAAGTTTACAGCTGGAAGAGGTATGAGGTTGCCGAACCGTTTTGGTAAGCGCACTACTTTAATCCAAACCGTATTTCTAGTGTTATCAGCTACTTTCTGTAGGTAATCACAGGGGAAGCCTTTTGACAATACATGTATCGAATGTACTCGTGTGTGTTAGTAGCAGTGTTGAATGTCGGCCACGTCAAATGAAGCTTTGGCTTCCAATTCTCCACGTCACTTTAATCTACCTGGGACTAATCCTTCCATGTCCATCGCTACAACCGTAATCAATGTAAGTATGATTATCTCAAAGAGTATATACAGGGGTTGTTCTAACGCAAGCTACTGCTACTCACTTTGCGTTCTTCCATCACTTGTTCGCACTTCGACTCCTACAATCTATTGAAACCGGAGACTAAATGGAGTTTCCTCTGCTACTACGCGTAAAGCTGGCGCTTTCACCCAAGTTTGAACCCCTCCCGCACGTCCTCCAGATCGTCAACGATCTACTCCTACCGAGAACACTAGACGGTGCTATCTACAACGATCTCCATAGACTGGTCAAAGACTACGAAGCTGTTCTTCCGTGTACTGTTGGAGCTATGGACGGCGCTGCTGCCAAAGGGCGACTCGATATTCTCCAAAGACTGCAAAATACTCGAAGTGAAGGCTGCTCATCCGCCGCATTCGTCGGTGCGGCAGCTCACGCTCATCTGGAGGTGCTGTGGTGGCTCAATGAGTTCTACGCCGGATTGGCCCGGCCACAAGACATAGTCAGAGCCGCCGCTGAAAACGGTCACGTTCGCGTGGTAGAACTTCTGTGGAGGCGGTTGAGCGAGGAAGAACTGGAGGCTGCGTTAAAAGTAGCAAGTGCTAACAATCATACCGAAGTGGCGAAGCTACTGCGTTCAAAGATGGCAATTAACCGAGCTCGACTCATATTTTAACGTCGTACTTCAGTACTGACAAGTCTGCAAGTGACAATTAAAAAAATCTATAGTGCAACATAATTGCTTCAAGCTTGATCATGTGCAACATAATTATTCGAAAGTTGCATCTTTCGTTGGAGCAACTTCCACAAATCCCAAAACGGGATGTCGTCGCCACCTCCGCCTCCTCCTCGCTCTCCGCCGCATTCCAGGCGCTTCTGCACGTTGTCGAGCTCGTCTCTTCCTTCCTGATCCCTCATACCATCGACAGCGCCGTCTACAATGAGCTGCACCGCGTGCTCCGTGTCTACCAACACTCTCGTCCACACACAACCAACGCTATGGACGGCGCCGCAGCTCTCGGAAAGTTGGACCTCCTCAAACGATTACATTCCAACATACCAGAGGGCTGCTCCAATGCTGCCTTCATCAATGTAGCGGCCAACCGCCACCTTAATGTACTCGAGTGGCTCTACGAATTCTACCCGCAGAGGGCTAACCCAGCCGAGGAAATTATTAGAGCTGCTGAATGTGGTTATACGGACATTGTAAGGTTCTTGAACCGAAAGCAAGGAGGGAGGAGGTAGAATCTGCTCTTGTGAGGCTGCTGCTGCGCATGGACATATTACAGTTCTGGAGCAGCTTTCGCACCGACCGTATAGTATGAGGAAAGCTCTGTTGGCAGCAGCAGAGAATGATCAGACACGAGTTCTGCAGTATATGCTGGATCGAGGGTCTCACCCTCGATAAGTATTGGATATAAACCCAGCTGTAATTAAGGCTGCGGAGGGAGGACATTGTGACGGTGCAATCTATTGATTGGCATTAGTGATGACTTCACCATTGGCGATGCATTGATAACCGCGGTGGTGGATGGATGGCATGGTGTTGTACAGTTATTACTGGAGCGAGAGGGAATAGACAAGCTAACGGCTGCATATGCTCCAGAAAAGGCTGCGTAGAACGATAAGTGTTCCTAGGTGGCTCAGCATTTCAATTGCCATGGAGAGGGCCGTCGTGGGGAATGACGAAGTTTGAGAACTGAAAACGTTCAGCCCGGAAGTATTGTCATCATTTGGTCATTAAATGAGATTGTGGAACCCGGTCGTGTCTGCATTGCCCAGTTATTATTGTTAGAGTCAAAACACCAACATGGCTACACTGTTTACCACTAAATGTAAAATGTTGAGCACGGGTGATGCCTTAGCATGAACAGTAGATAATGACGACATTGAGATGCTCCGAGTTCTTATTACGAAAAGCGTTTCGGTTCAAGATGCTTTGGGGAGAGCAGCAGTACTGAATCGGGTGGAAATGTTGGAGAACACTCAAGTTCGGACTCGACTGGAATCCCGTGTGCTTTCGAAATAGCAGTAGTACGAGGCCAAGTAGGTGTCGTTGAACGCCTTCGCGACAGATGCAATCGTGGTAGTATCAGCTTCGCTATATCGGCTGGAGAAGTGGATGTGGTTCGACAGCTGTGAGCTAAGCGTGCTCAGCTCAATTGAGTTCAAATTTGAACTAATTTCTTGGTCTGTCCTTGAGTAGGCTGTTTACAATTAACGAAGTAGGATCATAAAAACCTATTGCATCAGTTTTTCTCCCATCTCGTTACTGATGAATCCCCCCCCCTCACCGCGCTTTTTCTTTTTTTTTTTTTAACGAATACCTCATTATAATCAAGGAAACCATGCAGTTCTGTGTAAGATCAGTCATTCCAGGTTGATTGCAATATTTCATCCATGATGCAATCAAGTTTGTAAGTACGAAGTACAATATTTCTTCATTCCTGAATGATGAAGATCCAATTCAGTGCTCACCGTAAAATTGAAACGATACGGTATACATGTAGCTAGATGAAGAGATCTCATGCCAGCACGAATTGGAAGCGGGTTATTAGTACATGTAGAGGATGAATACGTGCAATTTACTTCAGTAATATAAATCATGCAAACGTCATGATTATCGTGTAATCAAGATGAATGATTGGAGTAGAATCCAGCAAGAAGCTCATTGTACAATCCCCCACGCCGCGACTAAGTTAACTAAGTCAACCAAGACCCCTCACGACCATGCTCTTGCAGTCTAATTACTCGACTTACAAGCACAATCTTCCTTGGGAAGACCTGCACGGGTATGTGCAGGTCGTGCGCGTAGGCCAGACCGCATACTTCTCGGTGAAGGCGACTTCGCTGCACAATGCGACGCAGTTTTTATGAATCTTGATAAGTCTCGCAGAGGTTGGTGCTTCGCGCGATCAGGTCGTGCATTCAGAGGTGCTGGTGGTTGTTTTGGCCAAGAACCTGGAGATCGTGGGGTCCAAACACAAACAATTCTTCGGGTCCCATCGGCCAGCAAACACTGTGTGGGGTCGTTACGGAGCTCTCCATCCCGCACATGCTGGTGGAGATCAAGTTCACGGTGCGTCTTGATCTGCCGAAGGAGCACACGGCCATCACAAACGGCATGTCCTCGGAAGTCGAGGCCGGCTACGCCCAGATTGTGAAGTGCGGATCGACGGTGGAGGTATCAGGCCAGTTCGACCACAATGATGAAGGCAAAATGAGAGGTGGTGGCGACTTCGACGCACAGTGTGAGCAAGCGTTTAAGAACATTGACAAGCGCCTAGCTGAGATTGGGGCTACACGCAATCAGATTGTCCACACGGAAGTGCTGATCGTCAACATCCGCAACAACATCGAGAAGCTCAACGCCGCGCACAAGAAGTTCTTTGGCTCGTACCGTCCAGCAAGCGCATGTTGGGGCGTGGTGGCACTGGGTATGCCAGGCGCTCAGGTGGAGATCAAGTTCACGGTCCGTCCGGATTTGTCGAAGGCCCCCAAGACGTATTCGCACGGTCTACCATGGGAAGATGCACATAACTACAGCCAGGTGGTCGTCACCAACGAGACGGCGTGGATTTTTGGTCAATTCGCCCATGACGATGAAGGGAATCCTATTGGCGAAGGTGACTTCGAGAAGCAGTGCAAGGCAGCGTTCGCCAATCTGGATGTGTCTAGCGGCGATCGGAGCCACACGCAGTCAAATTGTGCACGCCGGTGCTATGGTTGTCGGTCTGAGTGACAATGCCACAAAGCTGAGTGCTGCGCACAAAAAATACTTTGGTGCGTGCCCACCAGCCAACACGACCTGGGGCGTCACAGTTCTCGGCTAGCCCTTCATGATGGTGGAGATCTGTGCCATTGAGCCTCTCGACGCGCCAAAGAAGCCTTAGGACAGGCTGACCAGGATGACACGATTAGGAAAAAAAGAGTTAACGACAACGGGATTTATAATCGACGATGTCTCTTTTCCAATGAACAAGTATCCAGTTGAAGTTGAAAGTTACTTGAGCCGAGCACGCTTAGCTCACAGCTGTCGAACCACATCCACTTCTCCAGCCGATATAGCGAAGCTGATACTACCACGATTGCATCTGTCGCGAAGGCGTTCAACGACACCTACTTGGCCTCGTACTACTGCTATTTCGAAAGCACACGGGATTCCAGTCGAGTCCGAACTTGAGTGTTCTCCAACATTTCCACCCGATTCAGTACTGCTGCTCTCCCCAAAGCATCTTGAACCGAAACGCTT